CTGCCATTTTCATTCCACCACCCAGGCACTGCGGGGAGAGTGCACCTGGGGGGGTGGGGGGGGGGGGGCCCGCTGTTCCCGGCGGCAGGTTCCCAGCTCGCCAGCTCAGCTCGCCCGCCCGCCCGCAAGCCCGGCGGCACCCGTGTCGGGCCAGCTGCTCCAGGGCAGCCCGGGCTCCGACCCAGCCCCGCACGGGACCTGCAGTCTCCCAATCACCCCCCCCCCACCCCCTCCGCGGTGAAACTGCAACCTCGGGAGTGTGAGCGAGAGAGGGGGTTTACGAAACTTTGCAAATGGAAAAATCCTTTTCTCTACACCGACACCAACAGCACCCAAACCCACCCCCTCCCCCGACTCGGGCAGACGCCCCACAACATTCACCCGCGGAAGGGAGAGTCCTACCACTCGCTGACTTTGAACCTCTGACCCCACCCCCGCTCTCCCTCTGCCCCAACAAGGGCGAGGGAACAGCCTGAACCCCGGTTCCCGGGAATGGTTGAGGGGCCAGCGCGGGGAGGGTCGCCGGAGAGCAGCGTCTCCTCCGAGCCCGAGCCGCCCCGACCCAGATTACCCACCACGGCTGCCTCGCCCAGCCGAACCCCCTCTCCTTCCTCCGGGGGCACCCGCTGGGGAAGAACCCCCGCTTCGGGGTGGGCGCAAACCGGCTCCCGTCAGCTCAAGCACAGACCGATGTTCTACCGAAGGGTGCAGTTCGAACGATGAAGCCATTAAGGCACGAGCACTAAAAGGATTAGGGCGGGTCTCTTCTAGCTGGGGTGCCTTGCGGGGTAGGACTGGATTTTTCAGAGACAAGCCCGGGGAGGTTTTGTTTCGGAAGCAGCACCGGTCCCCGGGGGATATCGGGGCGCCCTGAGCGCGAGCCGCGAGCCGGTCCCAGCCTCGCCTTCCCGCCGCGCTCGCAGCTCCCGGGGCGCCGGGGGGTTGGCCACCCCCGCTCCTTACCTCCCGCGGATGGCTGGGGGTGCAGAGGCGATTCTGTGCGGGGGTCCCCGGGTGGCCGGGGGCGGGGGGTCCTCGGGTGGCTTGTCTGTGCGCGCTTGCGCCTGCCTAGCGCTAGCTCGGCTCCAGCCCCGTTCCCAGGAGCCCCCCGCATCCACCCGGCGCGTCCAGACAGATGACTGTCACTGGCTGCGCTTTGAAGCTCGGGGGATATTATTAACTGAAAAATCTGACACACCCGGAGGGCGGAGAGAGAAGGGGCTGCGGCACAGGCGGGGGGAGGGAGGGAGACGGGCCGAGGGAAGGGGCTTTACCCCGCCCTCTTGATTTCCATAAAAATCAGGGGAGGCGCCAAGCCTTTCGCGCCAAAAGCCACTTGCTTTTCTTCTTGGCAGAGGGGAGGCTGCGGCGCTGGGAAAGCCGGGGCGAGCTCCCCCGCCCGCGCGGACCCCCGGGCCTGCACCCGGCGCCCCGTGCCCACCAGCTGCGCGCCGAGCGGTGCCCGGCAGCACCCACCCCGCGGGCCGCCGATGGCTTGGCAGGAACAAGAGGAATGTCCAGACGGCTCCGGGGGAGGCGCCCCCGCCCGGCCCGCGCGGGTGTGCGGTCCCGGGCGCGGCTGCGCTCCCGCCAGGCCGGGCGGAGGGGCTGCCCTTTTGTGATCTCCGACGGGGGCTCCCCCCGGGGTGTCAAACGGGAGGGAGAGGGCGCGCCCGCTGGGGCTGTTTCAAGTTTGAAATGGAAAGGCGTGGGGCGCCCCCCCTGGTTTGAAAATAAATAAATAACTGCGGCTTCGAGGGTGGCGCTGCGGCGCTTTCTCCGGCCGAAGGCGACACCTCGCGGAGACCGAGCAGAAAAGCGGGGCTGCCGGGCCGGGTCTCGGGGGCTGAAGTGGGGCCACCCGGCGCGCGCCCCCGCGGCCTGTCCACCCGCCCTCCCCGCCGCGCAGGGAATGGGCGTGAAAGCCCCCCGCCATCCCCACGGACTTCCCAGCGAGCCTTTCCGATGCCGCGTGGTGTCGAGTCACCGGGAGACGGCTCGGGGTCGGTTCCAAAAGCTTGTCTCCAAATTGTAGGCGGCAAAAAAGAACAGCTGCTCCCCCTGCTTAGCTCCCCGTGCTCCCCGTGCCTCAGTTTCCTCGGTGGCGACATGGTATTCGTCCTGTGTGCTCACCCTTAGGGTTGCTTTGAGAAATAAGCGTTAGGAACGTGCTTAGAACAGTGCCCGGCGCACAAGTGTGAGTGTCGGCTATTATTGTGGTGATCAGATCGCCATAGAATCTTCCGGGGAAATTAACACCGCCATCCGGCAGCGATCGCCCTCTCCCCACCCTCCCCCACCCCCACCCCCAGCACAGCCTCACTTCACCCCGCTCCTTCTCGTTCACAGGTGGGTTTGGGGGAGGGGAGAGGGGATCAAACATTATCGCCTCTGCCCCCAGCTCCCCGGGAGCAACTCAGGTCTCCCGCACAGCCCCCCTCACAACCAGATACACAGGGAGGTGGGATGTTGCTTTGAAAAACAATCCTCCGACGGTTTGGGGCAGGGGAGCCTGGCCCCTGGGTTCGGCTGGGAACATGGGAAAGTTTCTTTATATTTATATTTATATCCCTTTTTCCCAACTGGAAATTCACTCGTCCCGGCGTTCAAACTAGATACAGACGAGAGTGCGTAGGGTCGGGGCGCCGGTAGAATGCTCTCGGATTAGCATTTGTGAAGGTTACCCTGGAAGCCTCCATAATTCTGGGAAGCGAGGGAGCTTGCCGGAGTTCTGGGAAGTGGCCCGTGAATGAGGATGAGCTGCCCGTCGAGCACCTTTCTTATTGTTATTACTTCCCTCACAGATGTAAAACACTTCACTTTTGCAAAAGCCCTTCACACCCCACGTGGGCTTTTGCCGAACGCCCTAATCTAAACCAAGCCTTCCTGCTGTATTCTCTCCAAACATCCTTTACCCCCATCTGTAAGGATATATTCCTGGGAGTGTTTGTTTAATGCCGGCTTCCCGCCCGAGTCCCTGAGGAAACTGGCTGCCTCCCTCCCCAGACTGGTGAGCCCCTCGGTGGAGGACCTGCTGTGGTCTGGGTGGCGGGAGAAACATACCTGTACTCAGCTCTGTTGTTCAAGGCAGAGATCTCTGAATGAGTCCTTCCAAAGCAGCCAGCTCTTCCAAGATAGTTTTTTATTGATTGATTGATTGATCGATTGATTATTAGAGAGAAGAAGGTGGAGAGAAAGGAACGTCGATGTGTTTCACTTATTTATACATTCATTGGTTGCTTCTTGTAAGGGCCCTGACCGGGGACCGAACCCTGAAACCCTGGTGCATCGGGACGACGCTCTAACCAACTGAGCTACCTGGCCAGGGCCCAAGATGGTTTCTGTTTATCGGCAAAGGAGAAATGAATGTCATTCAGAGCCTTCTTCAGGCCCTCAGCAACTGCCCCAGAAAAGGCACTCAGAATTGCCTGCCCTACCTTTTTTATTTATTTATTTTTACCAAAATGGCAGGACTGCTAAAATGGGCAAGGATGGCCCCCTTGCTTTGATTAAAAGTCCCACCTTTGCCCTAGCCGGTGTGGCTTAGTTGGTTGGGCATTGTGGTTCACAGAAAGGTTGCTGGTTCAATTCTCGGTCAGGACACCAAACACAAAAAGTCCCACCCTGGTCCTTTCTCACCAGACCTGTGCCCTTCACCACTCCAGTTGCCCTTTGTCAAGGGACAAAAAGGAGCAGAAAAAGAAGGGACAGGAAGACCAGAGCCCTGCTCACTCTGCATACCTCCAAGCAAATCGTGTCTCCTTCCTGGACCTCAAGCTCTAATTTCCACCTTTTAACGCAAGCCAGTAATTACTGACAAGTCTGAATTTGAAGGTTAACAGAATGATAAAATCCAACAAGTATTTATTGGTACTTTCACTTGCAAATGGAAAGATAAAAGACTCCCGGAGAAACCCTGTCACTGCAGGTTCCCAATCAGCCTGTCGAGAAACAAGCACAAATTCTTCTTAAAAATGTGGAAACACCCTCAGACTATGAGGATGCACACGAAATAAATCTTTAGATGGCTTCAAAGACAAGGTTCGGTTCAGCACGCATCTACTGTCCCGATGCAGAACAAAGATAAGACACAGCCTCAAAGAGCTCATCTCTGAGGGAAGGGGACACACCTAAGATGGACCAACAGATAGGATACAGTTGTGAACAAAAAAAAGGGGGATCTATGGGAAGTGACCTGACAGGGTGACCTGATCATAAATTCCTAATTGGGCAGTTTAGGGCAGGGAGTCACACTCTACGCATATAACGTTTTATCTAGTAAAAGGTGTATCTTTGCCTCGAGCAAGCCCTGCCCATTGTTTCTGTGAATATAGGTTAACACGCCTTTGAAATTAGCTGCAACCACCCCTGAGAAAGCTCAGAGCTTGTTAACTATCCTGTAACCCAATGCCCACCTTGCTTCTCCCACCTCCATGTAATCGTCCTTATGCCAGTCCCCTCCACATTTGAGGCCTTGCTTCCGGCATATGTTGTCAGTCTGACTCTTCCACAAATTCTCTACAGGTCTGGGTCTGGTTTGTAAATAAGGAATTGTTTGAGGAAGGAGAATGTTTTCCTACGAATCCCTCCTGTATTAAAAGCACAACACACACACACACACACACACACACACACACACACACACACACACTCAGAAGGGCAGATCAACAATCTGTAGGTGTTTTCCCACTTTCCTGAGTTAAAGATCTTCTGGGTCCACCTTCAGGGACCACAGTTTCGCCTAGGAACTAGTTTCGCCTAGGAACTTCACTGAAAAAAAAAAAAAAAAAAAAAAAAAGGTGTAAATTTTTACTGATTAAATACTTTTTAAAACCTTGGCTCTTCATTTGGAGTAAAGTAAAGCTAGCTTCCTGACTTACCCCGTTACAAATTAATTAATGAATTAATTTTTAAAAGACTGGATTGAAGATCTAAATGGGAAAAGTAAAACTATAAAAGAAGAAAGTATAAGAAGAAAATATAGACTGGAGTTCTTCCTGAGACAAGGAAGGAAAATTTTAACATATTTGAGGGAGATAAAATTTAAAATTTACAGTTAACACATGCCCTAAACAGAATAAAAAGACAACAATGTGATGGAAAAATACTTGCCTCATATGTGAGATAAAGAGTATATTCATGTAACAAAGAGCTTCTACACACTGAATAGGAAGAAAAACCTATAGAAATACGGGTCCAGGAAAAGAGTAGGGAATTCACTGGGTAGGAAAAGCCAAATTTCATGAACATATGAGAAGATGCTCAGCTTCAGGAGCAGTCAGGGAAATGCAAATTAAATCTCAAGAAGATTAACATTTTTTGGTCTAGCAGATTGGCCCTAGTGTTGGCAAGGCTGGGGAGGGGGCTGGGGGCCCTCTCCTACACTGTTGGGGTTCCAGCCCCAGGAGTAAAAACAATCCCACTCTTTCAAATCCATCCTACAAGACATAATACAAGAAATACACACAAATATGTAGGCAAGAATATGTGTTGCAGCATTGTTCACAATAATAACAAGAATATCACAAACAATCTAAATGCCCATCAATAGGGGAGTGAGTTGCTGGATCTATTACAATATATGCACGCAGTGAAGACTGTGCAGACACTAAAAAGAATGAGTTAGGTCTGTAGGTGTGGTCTAGGAAAACATCCATGAGTTATGAAAGAGTATAAACAAGGTATATACAGGTCAATGTGTCTGGCATTTTGGGTAGATGTCTACATAAACCCAGCATTAAGTATATGTCTACATAAACCCGGTAACAAATTGGGTAGAATATGCGACAATTTTTTTAAAGTGGTTCACTTTGAAGAAGGGAGTCAGGTAGAGGGAGAAACGCGTTCTCTTGCTTTATGAAATTTTTTTGAACCAGTTGGATTATGAGCAAATGCACTTTTTGTCTGGTTATTTTTCTAAACAATATTGTTGTTACTCCCCAGGAATGCTAACCATTAATTTGATCATTTGGGGAAAGTGAAGGATGCTTTTGTGGAGCCTAAAATCACCCCAAAGTTCTCTTTTGTTTCCTAGGCTGGTTGGCATTCTTTCAAACCAAACTAGGCTGAGCTGAATCAGCTGAGGATTCCAGGACTAAGATGGGACAATATGAGCACTGGTTTAATTAC